TTCACGCAGATCGGCGGGGTCAGGGTCCAAAAACATAAGGGATTTGCAACATTTCTGAAATTCGGTTTGCCCCTCACGCAGATCGGCGGGGTCGGGGTCCAAAAACATAAGGGATTTGCTACATTTCTGAAATTCGGTGGCACCCCTCACGCAGATCAGATCGGCGGGGTCAAAAACGTGAGGGATTTGCAACATTTCTGAAATTCGGTGGCGCCCCTCACTCAATTCGGCGGGGTCAGGGTCCAAAAACACATGGGATTTGCTACATTTCTGAAGTTCGGTGGCGCCCTTCACGCAGATCGGCGGAGTCAGGGTCCAAAAACATAAGGGATTTGCAACATTTCTGAAATTAGGTGGCGCCCATCACGCAGATCGGTGGGGTCAGGGTCCAAAAACACATGGTATTTGCAACATTTCTGAAATTCTGTGGTACCCCTCACGCAGATCGGCAGGGTCAGGGTCCAAAAACACAAAGGATTTGAAATATTTCTGAAACTCGGCTGCACCCCTCACGCAGATCCGTGGGGTCAGGGTCCCAAAACACAAAGGATTTGCCACATTTCTGAAATTCGGCGGCACCCCTCATGCAGATCGGCGGGGTCAGGATCCAAAAACACAAAGGATTTGAAATATTTCTGAAATTCGGCTGCACCCCTCATGCAGATCCGTAGGGTCAGGACCCAAAAACACAAAGGATTTGCCACATTTCTGAAATTTGGCGGCACCCCTCACGCAGATCCGTGGGGTCAGGGTCGAAAAACAAGCACACTGCTTCACTGCGAAGCCAAAGCCTCATGAGTTCGCTCTTCCATGGCCCATTCTCCGAGAGAGGGGGGCCGGCGGCAGGGGGCGAAACCCTTACGGATTTCGAAGAGAATCCACCCGTGACGACCACCGCTCTCCAGGACGAGTAGCGGAATCGGTTGGAGGCGGCCGGGGGGTCTGAGTTGGATGGGCGCCGAAAGAAAATGGCAATGGGTGGGATGAAGCCAAACCCGCTCAAAATCGGTCCCCAGACACCCCCTGGGGTCCGTATGGTGCAAATTTGTCCGCCCAGGGTCCGAAAACGGCCCCCTGAGGCAGAAAAAACAATAGAACACCACCACCACCAACACCACCACCACCGACAACAACAACATCGACAATCAAATCAACAACAGCAACAGCAACAACAACAACAACAACAACAACAATCACTTTACCCGAACGCTCAGTGTTCTCACCAGTGCCAGGGTTTTCATGCGACGCCAGCCAATACCCCCACTTTGTGGGGGGGCAGTGCAAGCTCTACCAAATATCCACACGACTCTTCGCCACCACCCACACCCAGCTTCCCGCCCTATGACGTTCGGACACTTCACTTCGTGGCCTGCGGACGACCGTGGCTACTACACTGGCGTGGAGTACACACCCACAGAAGTTGTTAAGCCTACGTTCGTACACCCACAGAAGTTGTTAAGCCTTGTTAACCCACAGAAGTTGTTAAGCCTTCCACAGAACATCTGTTGCATATGATGCATATGGTACATGATACACATGATACACATGATACGTACTCACAAGATAGTTGATCACATCTTTAGGGCAAATTCCTGAGGGATGTGGGAATACACAAGAGAGAGAGGATATGGTTGTCCCGATGGTTGTCTCGATGGTTGTCCCGATGGTTGTCCTGATGGTTGTGGTTGTCCCGATCGTTGTCCCGATGATTGTCCCGATGGTTGTCCTGATGGTTGTGCTTGTCCCGATCGTTGTCCCGATGACTGTCCCGATGATTGTCCCGATGGTTGTCCCGATGGTTGTTCCGATGGTTGTCCCGATGGTTGTCCCGATGGTTGTGAGCGATGCCGGATCCTCACGCCCCCCGCCGGAGGAGGAGGAGGAGGAGGAGCAGGACAAGGAGGAAAGGAGAGAAGAGAGAACGGAAGGAGGGGCGGGAACGGCGCTTGCACGCCCACCCACCGTCTTTTCCCCGCCGCGGCTCTAAAGAGACGAGTTCGTGTGCTCGTCATCTTCTGGCATACGCCCGTCCCTGATGGCACGGATGGGGCGCAATGCTGCCAGCTGGCGCGCAGGTAGAAATCCTGAAAAGTCGTGCAGGTGTTTTTCGAGGACCTACGGTGCGATTCGTGTGATTTTATGATGCGCGGTGCTAAAATTCTTAAGAAGCCCAATGGTTTTTGGAGATTTCGGCGTGCGCGCGCGAAGAAAAAACGAATGTGTCCCGCATGGTATTATTTGACAGGGATGATGGCCCTGGCAGGTGCGCAACCGTTGTCGCAGAAGTTCGAAAAAGTTGCTCGCAAAAGCCCGTTTGACAGAAATGTTTAAAAAGTGTTGGGTTTCCTACGAATCCGCAAGAGCGCGCGGGATGAGATTTTGACAATTTTTTGTTGAAAAACCATTGGTTTTTTGATGTTTTTATGTTAAAATCGCTGCGAACACTAAGGTTTTGGAAGGATTTCGTCTTGCGCGCGCGAATGTCCACTTTACCTTATTTTTTGCAAGGGATTCTTGAAATTTGATTATATTAGAACAAGAAATGTCATTTTCTATTGTTTTTTGCAAGGGAAAGCGGATTACAACAAAACAACCGGATCCTGTACACACCCTCTTTTCTGAGGCTTCCTCACGAAAATGATGAAAATGTAGCTGCGGCCTAGGCGGCGCAGGGGGGGCGCGCACCAGGGGGCCCAACAATAATTATTCTTTAGAATAAATAATGTTCAACAACAAGACCAACAACAACAACAACAACAACAGTACTTTTAATAATGATCGTTCTTACTGGCACGCGTGCCTTGCATTCCGTATATCCTACCCCTCGATACCCGCCCACTTCGTCTTCGATTGCACCCCCGTTCGAGGGGAATTTCTTCCCTGTCGACCACTGACTGAAGTGCGAAGAAGCCGCGAGCGAGAGCGCCGTTCCTGAGTTCGGGGGCCTCTCTGGTCAGGGGCTTTCGGAATACCTGTGGAGAAATGTCGAGCGGGAGCCCTTGTCGCCGTGTCTGGGCCTCCACCAACTTGCCTGAAGCACGGGAAAGTCTCATGCGAGAGCGCCGTTCCTGAGTTCGGGGGCCTTCTTGGCCAGGGGCTCACGGAGTAAATCGTGAGGAAATATCCAGCAGGAGCCCTTGTCGTCGTGGCTGGGCCTCCTCCAACTTAATTGAATTGCGAGGAAGTCTCGAGCGAGAGCGCCGGTCCTGAGTTCGGGGGCCTCTCTGGCCAGGGTGTCTCGGGGTACATTGTGAGGAAGTATTGAGCGGGAGCTGTTGTTGTCGTAGCTGGGCCTCCAAGGGCCCACACTTAGGCTAAAGCCAACGCTCGAGCGGGAGCCTCGCTTTTAGAGAAAATGTGACTGGCGTCGAGGCGAGAGCGCGCGGAATCGTTTCCGGATATCAACATCAAAAATTATTTATTTAGAAATGAGTAATCAATAATTTTAAGCTGTTCGTTGCTACCTGCTCGCGTGCCACTCAACAAGTATATCCCGAACCCTCGGTGCCCGCCTTGTTCGTTTTCGACCGTACCCCCCTTGGAGGTATATCTTCCCTACCTGCCGCGTGTAGTTGACGCAGCCCCTAAACAGTGGAAGAGAAGACGGATGGAAGAGGGAGGGAGGAGGATGGAGCACGAGAGAAATAAGCAGCAGGAGGGGGGCTAGGAGCAGAAAACATGTGGCAGTCTCGAGCGATAGCGCGCTTCCCCAATACATCGCGAGGAAATCCACAGCAAGAGCGTGCTTCCAGAGCGTTGAGGGCGCAGAGCCTGAATAACTTGCGAAGGATTCCCAAGCGAGAGCGCGATTCTTGTATAACTTGTGAGGTGGGGCCGACCGAGAGCGTGATTTGGGAATAAGTTGTGACGTAGTATCAGGCGGGAGCCGTTGTTGCTCTATCTCGGGGCCCAACAACACAGTGTGGTGCCCCCTCGCTCTCCTTTGTAAGAGACACGGTGCGAGCCCTGGAAGAAGCACTTCAACTGAAAAACAGGATGGTTACCAGAGGGGGGACACCAACAATTATTCTCCGGAAGTGAGAACTCGAGCACCACCACCACAACAACAACAGCAGCAGCAACATCAACAATCGTTTTAAGACTGTTCGCCCTTATCTGCTCGAGTGTCCAATAACGCCTATTTCCCAAACCCTCGATACCCGCCCAACTCGTCTTCGATCGAACCCCTTTTGGGGGGTATACCTTTCTTCCCTGCAGGCCGGACCCCGGCAAGCGGCGGGGCGGCCGCAGACCGTCGGCCTGGCCAGCGGCAGCGCTGATCGGCGGGGTGGCCGCGGACCGTCGACCCGACCCCAAGAGGGACGGACAGGGGACCGACCACGACGACGACGACGACGTCGACGACGACGGCGACGACGACGACGACGACGACGACGGCGACGACGACGACGAGCGAAAGCGAGAGCGAGAGAGAACGACAGCAGGGCCACAGCGGACACGAAGTAGGCCACGAAGGGCGACAGCGGGGACACGAAGGGAATGCGCACGGGGCCACGAAGAGCGCGAACGAGCGGGGGCCACGAAGGGCAGATAATGCGGGGCCACAGAAGGCAACGATGGGGCCACTGAGGGTAGCAACTGGGCCACGTAGGACAGTGAGGGGGCGACAGCGGGGCCACGAAGGGCATGCACATGGGGCCACGACGGGCGCGAACGAGCGGGGGCCAACCGAAGGGCATACGTATGTTGGGCTGCGGAGGGCAAGGACGGGGCCACTGAGGGCAGCAACGGGGCCACGAAGGGCAGCGAGGGGGCCACGAAGGGCGACAGCGGGGCCACGAAGGGCATGCATGTGGGGCCACAACGGCCACGAAGGGCAGCGAGGGGGCCACGAAACAAAACGAGGGGGCCACGACGGGCTGCAACGGGGCCACGAAACAAGGCGGGGGGGCCACGAGGGGCTGCAACGGGGCCACGAAACAAAGCGAGGGGGCCACGAAGGGCTGAAACGGGGCCACGAAACAAAGCGAGGGGGCCACGAGGGGCTGCAACGGGGCTAAGGAAGTCCCAAGCGAGAGCGCGACTCCTGAATAAAAGGCGAGGAAGTCTCGGGCGGGAGCGGGGGTCCTGGCTAAATGGTGAAGAAGTCTCAGGCGGGAGCCGTTGTTGTTGTTGTTGTTGTTGTTGTTGTTGTTGTTGTTGTTGTTGTTGTTGTTGTTGTTGTTGTTGGTGCTGTTGTTGTTGTTGTAAGACGAAAGCCAACGACACAGTTTGACCCTCAAGACTTTCCCTCATAAAAAACAGGGTGCGAGCCCCTGGGAAGGGCACTTCAATCGAAAAAACAATGTACACCAGACGGGGGAGATCAACCATATTTTTCAGAAATGACAATTCAACAGCAGCAGCAGCAACAACAGCAACAACAACAGCAACAACGACAACAATCAGACACAAGGGCAAAAACAACAAACAAACAGCAACTCTACCACAGCGCCTCGATTATCTTCCCAACTGCCCGCTGGCCAGAACCAGCGCTGAGCCGCCTCAGACCCCCAGCCGGCTACAAGACATCGGCACATTTCCTCCCCTGACCGCCGCCGGCCGCTCCGGCGGGCGCGCCCGCCCCGCCGCCAGCAGTCCAGCGTGGGGGACGACGACGTTGCCGTACACCTTGGCGGCCTGCGCTCGGCAACACCGGAAGATTCAGATCGCCACGACGACGACGATGACGACGATAACTCTAAGCTTGCTTGGCGCGAACCCCGACGGGTTCTGCGCACAGAGAAACTGAGAGCACGAGCCCCGAGGGGGGAAAAGGAGGAGGCGGGAAGGGCAGCGCAGAACGCCCCCCCCAGAACGCCACTTGAGAATCCCCCGCCCTGAAAAAGTCAAGACGGGAGCCCGATAGACCCACCCCTTCTGCGGATTTTTTGAGCCAGATCGACCTGAGAGGGCCGCCGGGCCAACAACAAGGCAAACAAGGCAAACAACTCATTCGATAAAGTTCGTTCGGCAAACATGTGTTCTACTCCTGTTTCCCCCCCAAACCCCCCCTTCCCGACGCTCCACCAGACGTTTGTCAGAGCTTGGCCCCGAGGGCCGTCACATCGGGTTGGTCGAGATCCTATGTCCTTTGATCACACCGCCCCTCTCCCTTCTCCTGCCAGCATCTGCCAGCCACAGAGCGTGTCTTGAGACCCTCAGAGGCCGAGAGCGAGCCCAACGAGGGCACTCGACGACCTCAGGAGGCCTCCCAGATGGGGTCCAGGTAGATGGGGTCGGAGGATCGCGCCGCATCGTCGATGCATCACCGATGCATCACCGAAGCACTGGCAACGCCAGCGAGGCATCGGCGACATAGGCGTGGAGAAAATCGGCCTCCACATCGCGGAGCGATCCTCCGACCCCATCTACTCTGACCCCATCTCGCTTTTTCAAAACGTCGACCCCCAGAGGTCTCGACCCATCCCCCGCGGGACCAGCTTTTCATCCTGAGTCGTTTTTTGACCGACCCGGGGACCGACGAGAGTGCCCAGGGCCGACAACGGCGAAAAACCTCCCGTCCTGATTTTGTTCACGACGGGAGGGGGCCTGGGATCTCAGAGCTAGGCAACCTGCGCTAACCGCGCGGTCCTGGCGCCCTCGAGCGCGGCCTCCTCCTCCTGCCTCTCCTCCTCCTCCTGCTCCTCCTCACCGATATCGCTATTCCGCAGACCTCTCGGGGCGCGTGCTGACAACAAACTCGAATCGAATCCAGCGGTGGCGACGAGGGCCTTCCAGGAGACCCGAGAAGGCGAAAGCGAGGCACGTGTAGTGGCATCGGTAACTTTCCACCCTCTGCAGCAACTCATGGAAGCCTCCCATGCCATCTTGTTGACACTTGCGGATCGACGCTAATCGACGCTAATCGACGCTAATCGAAGCTGAATCGGCGCTTGCCGAAGCCAAGTCAGCGCTAAATTTGCGCTTTCTCCTAGATTATCGCACGCGAATGAGCTCTGAAGACGGAATTGAGAGAACATACGAGGCTCCCATGGTTTGCTACGGAGTCCCCCTGTGTTTGTGCATAAGAACAAACGGCATACATGAAGACTGCTGGAGGTCCGCGCGGATCCGCGCCAGACCCCCCACCCTGGCGCGCGGAGCGTGCCAGCGTGCCGAGGGCGGCGCCAGAGGCGCCGCCCCAGGGGGCTCCCGCGCAGATCCAAACAGAAAGTCAGCGCGGAGCTCTGAAAATGTATGCTTCTGCCGTTGCTCTCGGGGGGAAGCAAGACTCGGCTCCTGGGGACTCGGCTGGCCTGGCGGGGCCATCACGAAAAGGACGAGACCCCGTCTGCAACTTGACGCGAGCTCCCGCTGCAGACATCCCACGAAGACTGGACCGCCGAAACCCAGGACTCGCTCGTCAAAACGCGCTGGCAAACCCGAGCTCCGGCGTACCGTAGGGGCCCGACCGCAAGAGACCTTCCACAAGAAACCCAACCCCGAGACCCCAGGACGTCCATCGCTGTTCGGCGTGGGAACGCCACGCCTTCCGTCGCAAGACCATGGGAACCCAAGAGATCCAGGGCACCCTGGAGGCAAGCAGGCTGTCTCTTGGCATGGGCCTCCACTGTCCTCGAGCCCCGCGTTCCTCCGACCCTCCCCCCCTCCCGATCACCGGCGGCCTTCGCCAGCCGCGCCGCCCGGGCCACCTCGAGCGCAGCCTCGCGCGGGGGCGCGGCGCCCTCGGCGGCCGGGCGCTCGGGCGCCAGCGGCCGCGGCCTCTGCGCGGGCGCGGCGTGCGGCGCTGGAGCGGCGCCTGGCGGGCAGGTGCTGCAGTGCGGTGCGGTGGCGGGCGCTCTGGGCGGCCAGCTGATCTCCAGGGGCCGCTGGCCCTCGGGGAGCGGACCTGAGCTTAAGAGGCCCAGGACATCAGGGACGGGTGGCCATTTTCAGCAGAAGTATCAGGCTAAGCCGCCCAGACTGATTGTCCCTGCTGCACGGACGGGGACCTGAGTTGGGGGACGTCTTCCTAGTGTGATTCAGGTTAGGGGTTCTCTTATCCTCGATGAAATGGAGGGGGGGAGAGGAAAGGTGGAGGGGGGTGGTGTAAAGTAACGCCTCCCCCAGCCGCCGCGTGGGTCTGGCACCGCAGGCTGTGGTGCCAGACGCGCTGCGGCAGTGCTGGGGGCGCACTGGGAGGGGGCGGGAGCGTCACGTTATGGGGAGTGGGGAGAAGGGGGGGAAGCGGGGCATGACGCGCGTTATTCAACAACAACAACAACAACAACAACAACAACAACAACAACAACAACAACAACAACAACAACAACAACAACAACAACAACAACAACAACAACAACATCAACAACAACAACAACAACCACAACCACAACAACCACAACAACATCAACAACAACAACAACAACAACCTCAACAACAACACAAACCACACCAACCACACCTAGCGCAACAGCAACAACAACAACAACAACAACAACAACAACGACAACAACAACAACAACAACAACACCAACACCAACAGCAACAGCAACAGCAACAGCAACAGCAACAGCAGCAACAGCAACAACAACAGCAACAGCAACAGCAGCAACAGCAACAACAACAACAACAACAAACAACGACTCCTGGCGGACAGGGCGGCGCAGCGGTGGGGCCCTGCAGCGGCGCCAGCCGCGCGCCCCTGGCCGAGCCCGAGATCCTGGCGTATGCATTTGTTCGAGCTGGGCTTTCTTGGTTCGCCCTGTTCTGTGGCGCCCTGGGACCCCATCCGGGTCGATCCAGCTCGAGAAGCACGGCGCAGGAAGGCGGGGCCCGGGGCTCCGGCCGCACTTTCCCCTCGCGTTGCGCGTGCTTTGCCGCTGCGCCGGATCCCAGGGCCTGGCCGACCTGCGTGGCCCCCACGGCGCGCGGGCGCTGTGCGGCTCCCACGGCGAGCGGGCGCCGTCCTCACCTCCGTGGAGCGCGCGGGCCACGGCGGGCGGCACCCTCTCGCCGCGCGCGGTGTGGGGCTGCCCGGCCATCGCTGCGGGGACCCGGTCTGCGCATCCCTCGGCGCTGCCTGGGCGCGCGTCTCTCAGGGCCTGGGCCACAGGGGGCTGCGATATCCCCTCTTTCTGCATGCCGGGCATCCGCCATGGCGGACCGAGCCGCCCGCCCAGCCTGGGAGGGGCTCGAGCGCGTCTGCAAACAGGTTCGCAGAAGCCCCTGGGGCGGCTGGGGGGGCGAAGGGTTTCGAAGGACCGAAGCGTCATGAAAGATTCCCTGAACGCCGGAATATACTTTTGGTGGCCCCTGGACGCGAACCACATGGGCCCCGTGTGCGGCGCTCCCATTTGATCCTGAGTTTATCTTGGCGCACCCGTCGCACACTCCGTGCCCAGTGCAAGGGCATTCGCAGTCGGTCCCGAACTCACATCAGCACCCACGCGCACGCACACACACACACACACACACACTTTCAAGTCAGCGGCGCAGAGTGTCCTCATGCGCGCGCGGCAGATGAAAGTGCTGACTGCGATCGAGCATTGTCGAAGGCGCAGCGTACGAAGCGTCGCACACTGCAACATGCAAGTGATGGGTGTGTTAGAGAAACTGTACGTAAGTCCAAACGAAATATGCAGTGGCCAGGAAACGAGGAGAACACTCAATTCAAAGCGAACTGAAGCGCGACAGCAGAAAGCTAATTGGCGGCCGCACACACACACACACACACACACACACACACGCTTTCTCTGACGCGCCAAAAGGATAAAATCGGCAGGAAATGCTACAGACAGGAATGCGGAAAAAAAACTTCCTTGTGAAGGATGCCGTAGCTCATGATGGCCGGTTCCAGCTTCACCAACAACATTTCTAGAGGTAGATGGGGTCGGAGGATCGCGCTGCATCGCTACTGATTCACCGATGCATCAGCAATGCGCTGGCGACGTCGGCGACGCATCGGCGCCGTCGGCGTGGAGAATAGCGAACGCCACATCGAGCCGCATCGGCCATGCATCAGCGATGCGAAGCTGTCCTCCGACCCCATCATTCG